TCTAAAACCTTTAATGTGATTGATGTAGCTCTTTGTTACCTGGCTCCAAATCAATCTGTGTTTTGTTCAAAGCTCTTCCTTTAAACTACCTTGGCCTGATTTAAATACTTCAAGTGTGCCAAGTTCCTTTTGAACCTCTCTAGGAGCAATCTATCCCACTCCCTTCAGCCCAACCTCTTTGCCTCCAATTCTCAGCTTAGATGGTTATTTCCCCAAGGAAAGAAGACTTTCCCTTTCCTCCAAATGAGGATATGAGGATATACTGTTTGTTCTGTGTTCTCACCAGTCTCCACGATTCTCTGACATAAAGCCGCTGTGCTGCTGTCATTTCCTTTACTGAACCAAAACTTCCCTGAGAGCAGGGACTGCCCACCTTGTTTACCTTTTATGAACAAATGTCACTCCAATTCTATTTCAATGGCTCTCCTTCCTTTAAAAGTCAGATGAGAGCAACAACATGGACTTTCCAGATAGTAAGTCTTTGAAATGGCTATATCAAAATAGAACTATCATTCTCCATCCTTTAAAGCTAAGAATCAAAACAAAACAAACTAAAAGCAAAACCAAACCTCTTTGACACTAAGGGAATAGGGTTTGTGTCTAGATAATTTATCAATGGGAAGGGTTAGTACATCTCTTTTTCCATATGGCATCTTGATATCAGTAAATTTTATCTGCCTTAATGTTTAAAGATTCCAGCATATTTCTACCAGAAGTTAGAAATTATATTTTTCGTCACCTAATACTGAATCATCAATCTGAGTCACAAAAAACCAGCTGAGTCACTTCTTCTGGCAGGAAATGTAAAGCATGCTGTAGGGACTTAGCAATACCTCTCACAAAACCAAAGTCAGAGCCAGCGGTCCTGACCCTGGCCATGGATTGTTCAGTTTGACTTCTCAGACTAATGTGTCAGCTTCCTCCTTCATCTCAAACTTGGAGGTTGGTTGGCAAGCAAAACTACAAAGGTTTCCAGGCATGGGCAGAAAAAAAAAATTGCAATTGCATTCAGTTTCTTTTTATCCATGTTGTAATTCTGGGAAGACTGGTATCTTCTTTAAATGTTCTCGAAATAAGCATGGAGGAATAAGGGGCACACACGTCATAATGGTGATTGCATTCAATGTGACAACCAGACCAGGACAGAGTTAAGACTCACACAGATGAATTACTATCTTCCTAAAGGGACCAAAATCTATCCTGTGGGGGTGAGACTTGGGAAAGGAGATCAGCATTAGCACAGAGGGAAGCTGTGGGGAAAGTAGTCCTGGGTTGCTGGATGCCAGGTGCCAACATTAAGCCCTGACTTGTTTTAAGGCCAATTCAATCCTGGTGGTGAATCTTGATGACAAGAAATGTCTTTATATCAGGCAACTGTTTACATGCTAGAAGTAATTTGGGAGGCAATATGGTGAGTGTTCAATTAAGAGATGGAGTAGAAAAAAAACCAAAATACCCACCTCTATGGTCTGAATGTTTGTGCTCCCCTTTCCAGTTCATATGCTGAAGCCTAATTACCAACAGGGTGGGGACCTTCGAAGGTGATGAGACCCTGAAGGCTGAGCCTTTATGCATATATGAGATCTCTTATAAAAGAGGCCATACAGAGCTGACTGCTTCTTCCCTTTCAGTATGTAAGGACACCAAGAGAAGATGTCATCTATGAACCAGGAAATACCAGACACCAATCTGTTGGCACCTTAATATTGGACTTCCCAGCCTCTAGAACTGTGAGAAATGAATTTCTGTTGTTTATAAGCTACTCAGTCCATGGTATTCTGTTATAGCAACCTGAATAGACTAATAGAGTGCTGGTCATACGTGCGTCAGAGAAGATTCTCCAGTAAGATAGTACAAAAGAAGGCAAGAGCCAGCTCTAACTGGTATGTGTAGGAAATCTATGTACCTGCTTCTCAGGTGAGCAGAAGGAGAACAGGTGCCCAAAGAACTTTCCTCCATCAGTGAGACTTCAAGTTCCCTTAGTATCACTTACTCATGTAGTTGACTCTCCAGCTTGGGCTGAAACCAAGCTGGTACAAAAGACGTTTTTCCAGGACAGGATGCACGACAGATCTCTGTACCAAGCCAGGTCACAATTAAAAATTTTTAAGTAAACCTGACAACTAAGAATCTTTGCAAAAAGGTGACTTGTCACTCTCAAGCCTGGGCAAAAACTCCTCTCTCAAAATTCTCCTTGCTTCAAGCACTCAGCTGGCTCTGTGGCCATGACCTGAAGGAGATCCCTGTGCTCCTCCTCCTCCTCTTCCCTTCTCTTCTCAAACAATTCAGCCCAACAGTCATCAGGTGGTGCCTGCAGTGGGGGTGGGAGAAGCTACAGTGGCCTAGAGGGATGTGCCCAAAGCAGGTAGGCAGAGCACAACAGTGACTCCCTAGGGAGGGTTGGAGCCCAAGTGGGCTAAGGAGGTAGTGGTGAAGGGGTGGGCAGGGGCCACCCAGAAAGTGATGTTGGTACCGATGTTTGAAGAGGAAAATGGGAGACTGGCTATATGGTGGGGATGGGGAATTAACCAAGTAATGAAATATTGGGGATAACTGGAATAATCAAGGCATTTTGTTATCACGAAGGAGGCTATAAATATGGAAAGGAAGAAAACATGAATGAATCTTGTACTAGAATAGAATTAAAATATCTCAGGGTTAACTTAGGGTTCGATAGATAGATAGATCGGTTGATCTTTAAATCTGTCCACTGAGGGTACCTGGGAGCAGCGACAATTCGCTGAGCACACCTGATACCCAGACCTTGGTTTCTAAATACCATTCTTTGAAGTGCTCTTTGAAGATATGAATGATTTCAGGGTTGGAAAAAGCATAAGATGAAACTAGAACATCCTTAAAAAGTGATGCTCAAAGAATGAGGACATCTCAAAAGGAACTGAAGTTAGCCTGAAAGGACTCCTATGAGAGCTTTCTGAACAAACTAGGATAAAAACAAGAAAAGAAATAGACGAGCTAAGCATACTGGCATACATCTGCAATCTCAGCCACTCAGGAGGCTGAGGCAGGAGGATTCCAAGTTCAAGGCCAGCCTCAGCAACTTAGCAAGGGCCTAATCAACTTAGTAAGACACTGTCTCTAAGTAAAAAATAAAAAGGGCTGGGAATGTGGCTCAGTGGTAGAGTGCCCTTGGGTTCAATTCCTGGTACCAAAACAAAACAAGAAACAGATGATAAATTATTGAATTATTGAATGTAATACTTTTCCATAAGACCATACTGACATATAAGTAATAGATTTAACATTTGAGAGGAGTGGGGAAAAGAATCAAAGTATCTCCCACAAAGAAAATGGAAAAAGACAGCTTTACCGTGTGGAAGCCTCGCAGCTTCTCCCTCACTGAAGAGATCAAAAATAATATAAAATGAGGGCTGGAGAGATAGCTCAGTTGGTAGAGTGCTTGCTTCACATGCACAAGGCCCTGGGTTCGATCCCCAGCACCACCAAAATAATAATCATAATATTAAATGATCAGAGCTAAAAGCTGCCCCTGACATGGGACACACTAATACCAGCTACTACCTGTTTGGAGACAATGAGGATGCAGCACCAAATATATGATGTTCCTACCAAAGACGCACACAACCTGAATGTCATCATGGGAAAGGCCCAAACTGAGGGGCATTTTACAAAACTGGGGTTCATAGGGCATTGTGTTTGGCAATCTACTCTCAGAAACATGTTTGTACTTGGGGATTTTTCTTAAGGTTTGAAGTGGTTTCGAAATTTAAAAATCAATACTGAAGAGTGACTTTGCGTCATAACAGATGTAATGGAAGCCAAGCGTCAAGATGACTTAAGATCTGGGTGGACAATCTTACTATAAAGTAATGCTTCTAAAATTATCTCTGGCAAAGGACCCATCCCTCCCGCCCCCAGTCCATTGTGGACCAATATTTTTGTAAATACGAAACCCCACATTTGGATTTCAGGACGATAGAAAATTGCTGCAGGAGTTTTCAAATGCTGTATCTATCAATGTCTGCACTGATCTCAGCATGGACTGGTGACATAGGAGCAGCTCTTCTCTAAGAAAAACTGCATGGGTCCCCAATTCCCATCAAATTCACATGCACTGTTACCCATAACAGGAGCAACAACAATTACCCTAACTAACATCAACCATCTACACCAGTTACTAAAGACAGGGACTGCAGAGGGTGGGGGTGGGGAGAACAACAGGAGGAGACTGAAGGCCAGCCTTTGCTTACCCTAACTCAATCCCCCTAAATAGGATGAGACCCCGGGTTCCAAAGTACAGGCATGCATCCCGTAGGGTCAGGGAACACGTTCTGAGAAATGCACTATTAAGTCACCTCATCCCTGTATGAACATCATAGAGGGTACTGACCCCAAGAAACGGCTACAATGTCACCAGGTGATAGATACTCGTGGAACCACCATGGCACATACCAGTCTGCTGTTGACCGTCACCAAGCTGTTCACGCCTATAACTGGTGTGTGGTGACGTAAGAGAAGTCAAATCCGATCGCCCAGAAGATGGAGAGAGACGTCCTCCATGGGTCAGTCTGCAACACGGACTCGCGACTAGGACTGCTAGGAAGGGACCCAACACCCCTGAGGGTTAGCAGAGCACGTCCCCCCAAATCGAATAGGTTTGACTTCCATTGAAGGTCAAGCTACTGACTTCATACAGTCCACAGGTGGGCCCACCCTGATGGGTTCTGTGTCATACACGACTCGATCCCTGCCAAGAGGCCGCCCCTCCGATAACAGAAAACGATTTTGTGTAATAAGCCAAGGACAAGATGGAACCACAGGCGAGGAGCTACCACCTCTGCTGGGAAGTGGGAGACACCATCGGGGCTCCAGGTTCCTCCAGAGGGCACTCTGACCCTCCTGGCGCCGAGAGCCTCATGCCAGTGCCCCCTGCCACACGCGCAGCGGAGGCTCCACACAGAAACTCCTATGCTGGAATCAGATTCCCGCGCGTCCAAGTGCAGGAGGCAGCCTCCACTTACCTGGGGCGGTTTTGTAGCCGGACGTGGTTCGGGAGGGCAGCGATGGGGCGTTCCTGGTCCTGGGGCTCGGTGCACTCTGCAAGACTTGTCTCTGCCGCTTCAGCTCCTCTTCCCTCTCCTGGGCTGCTCGGATCTCTTCTTCGATCATGGACAACGTCCGCTGCTTCCTTGACCTCAACTTGAAGGGCCCAACCATCACGTCGGATTCTTGAGTGGCCAGGAGGGAGGCTGTGCTTCTCAGCTCAGCAGCCTCCGAGTACTTGCTGAAATAGCCCCCCTCGGGCCTGGTCTCCTCCATGTTGACTGGGCCACTGGGCTGCACGGTTGGTGGTAGCTGGGAGGGCCCCCTTTCCCTGAGAGCCCTGTCCTCTGCAGGCAGAATCTTTGGTAATACATCCCTTTTCTCTTGAACAGGAGAGGACACTTGAGGTGGCTCAAACATGCTCTGGGGCTTCTCGGGGCCAGCAGCTCTGGTTTCAGCTCCCTCGAGGGTTGTGTCAGGTCTCCCCTGCTCTGCTCCAGGCTCGCTGGCCTGGGGCGTGGCCTTATCCACCTGCTCGGCTATGGCTTGTTGAATGGCATTCTGCACCAGGAGACCAGCCTGATATTCCAAGGACTCATCCACCGACGGGGAGTCCCCCAGTGTGGAGGACGGGGAATAGAAACCATGATCGCTAAATGACTTGGAGACGCCCTCTCGGCCCTCAGAGGGATTGTCTGTTTGTGGAGTCTGAGGCAGAGAGAAGTCAGCCAGGGAGTTTTCCTGGAGGGCATTGGTTGTCTCGTTGGACGCCCCACTGTCACTGATGTTGTCCATGCTGAAGTCGTTGGACAAGGTCTCCAGGACCGTGGTGTCCTGGGACCTCACCGACAGCTCATCCAAACCTGAGTCAAGCTCCTCTTGGGTCAAAGAGACATTGACCGATCTCGAGAACTGATCCAAAATGCCATGCTCATCATCCTTGACCACGGTGAGGACGGCCCGGGCGCTGGTAAACTCACTGTCCTCGGCCCACAGTTTAGATAAGGGCCCGCGTTTGGAGGGCTCGCTGTAGGGCCCTTCCTTTCCCTGAGGGGCGGTGCTGCCAGGGCCTCCTCCCGCCAACTGGCTCTCCAGCGTACAGGGGGCTTTCTGCCCCTTGGCTGCAGACACGCCACTGTCCTCTGGAGCTACCCCAATAGAAGCCGGTCTCAGGATGGTCGGGGGTTTGTCCGAGTGGATGGACCCCAGAGGCCTGTAGAAAGGCTTGATGGAGAACAGCCGGGGTGTACTCTGGCCCTTGGCCCCCGTCTGCCTGGAATTCTCCATCAGCTGGAACTGTTTGCGAGCGGCAGAGAAGTCAATCTGTTCTGTGACAATGTCCTCCTTTTCAGTCCCGCCTGGACGTTCTTGAGCGGAAGCAGGGGCTGTGCAGAGCTCTGGAGGGGGCTGCTGCTGTTGCTGCTGCTGCTGCTGCTGTTGCAACAGCTGCTGCAGCTGCTGCTGCTCCTGCTGGGCCCTCCTCTCCTTGCGCTCCTTGTACTTTTTGTGCGACTCCAGGTGTTCCTCGTCCAGCTGCTCCTCGATGGTCTTCTCCTGCGGGGGATTCCACCACTTGGCAGCAATGCCGGGATTCTTCTTCACGGCCTGACTCCGGATGAGCTCTCTCCTCTCCTTCTCCAGCTCCAGCATCTCCTCCGAGGGCCTCACCTTCCTCACACAGAACTGCTCCTTGTCACGCTCGTCCTCCTCGAAGAGCTTGGAGGGCTTCTTGTCTTCGTGGAAGGCGCGCAGCTCAAACTTGGCCTCCTTCTTCAGGGTGGTGAGCGTGAACTCCCCGTCTCGGGAAGAACAGCGGGAGCTGGTGGAGGAGCTGGGGCTCGCAGGGGCCTGCAGGCTGTCCCCTAGTGTGTCCCGGGGCTGGTCGGGGGGATGGCCATTCACTCTTTCCGTCTCGGCCATGGTGTCAGAGGGGCTTCTGCTGAGCTCAATGTGCGGGGGTGCCTGCCTGCCCGCGGCTCCCTCGGCAGGTTCTGGCTGGGTGGCTGGGTGGGCTGGTGGGCTCAGGCTGCCCGCCAGGGTGGCCACAGCAGGCTCTGGGGAGGATGTCCCGTTGTAGGTTCCCTCCACCGAAGAATCACAGCAGTTGGCCTCCAGCACCTCATCTAGATATCGGATCTCTCTGGCCACATCATTATCCAGGGACTCATGGTGATCAGGGAGGAGGCCATTGTGAGGGGGTGAATAGAATGGGGAGGGGTGGTCCACGGAATGGGGGGTAGAGGTGATTCCAGGAACGCTTTTACATTCTGTAACAGACACCTCAATTTCCATGTTTTGGTGATCTGAGTGAAGAGATCTGGGAGCAGGCTCCAGGAGATTGGCACGACAGCTGTCTCTCTCGGTTTTCAGCTGGATATCATCCTCAGAAAGCTGCGGGGGCTTCTAGAATAAAGAGAAAACAAAAGTCAGGGTTAAATGTTGCTTCTCTTAGGTATGTGACTGCTGAGCCGTTCATTCAGGAAGAAAACCTGAAACAATACCAGCAAGTGTTGTTAAGTAGAGATCTCCCTCCTAGTAATATCTCAAATATTAAATTTGTGGTGGGAACAGGTGCCTAACCCTCTCGAATTTACAGATTCCATCTTGTTTATTGGATGCTCAATGGATGTTGGCTCCATTTTAAAATCTGATCTCCTAACTTGGAAGAGGTTACATAATTGATGCACCACGGTCTTCCAAAACAGTTGATAGCCAACTACTAAGGCTTTGTCATTGGGCTCTGTACATGTCCCCGGTTATAAAAAGAAGGTCTTTTTGCATGAACAAGTCTTAAAAACACCATTCTCTGCCAGAGACAAGGAACTTTTTGGAAAATCTTTCCATCATAAAATACTAGAAAACAGTAGATCCCTTCAGTGGCCCTTCTCACTAGAGTGCCCCACTGCCATGGCCGTAACTGACCGTGTGCATTAAACACCACAACCAAAGCCACTGTCTACATAGTTCTGTTCTCAGGGGCTGCATCAAAACAATACTCCTTAGTGGACTGTTGTTTGAAAAGCCAGTCACCCCTGACACCTCCCCTCTGGTTTCTAAAATGCTTTGTATTTGATATCTCCAATTTGTAGTTGGTTAAGAAAATCATGTCTTCTTGATGCAGTTTTAGTTATAAATGAATCTTTTATCTTATTTATTTATATGCGATGCTGAGGATGGAACCCAGGGCCTCACACATGCCAGGCAAGTGCTTTACCACTGAGCCACAACTCCAGCCCCTCTTGATGCATTTTTAAAGATGTCATAGCTCTCCATCAGTTATTGAGCTCATGGAATCGGTTATTTGACACTATTTTAGTAAGAGTACTTTTTATATTCTGGAATTTCTTTTTTTTTTTTAAATATCAAAGAACTCGGGTTTATCTCAGAGAATTCCAGCAATAAATTATGAACTTGAATTGAGCTCCCCTCAAGGATTTCCTTAACAGCTTAGTCAGCTTTGTTTCCTAGGGTGTTCCAGGAACTACTACTGATGTGGTACAATGCAAAACTCTCAAATGGTACAATTTTCATTTATTTAAGTTTTTAACAATTTTAGAGGATTAAAATATAATATTAAAACACCACCTTATGATGATTATCAGGGATTGATTACAAAATTCTTCCAAGGAAATGGAAATTAAAATTTTATTTCATGAGGTCTAAGAGCTTGAGCATTCATTCTATGCCCAGGATTGCAAAACTCTAATAATTATGCAGAAACTAGGGACCTCCTTCACTTACCACATTCTCCTTCAAACTTGAATCAATCAAGTAGCATGTATTTTTTTTGCTAGTAACAGGCAACAATAACAGCTATTCCTTCTTTGTCAATACCTTTTGATCTTTTTTTAAAAAATTTTTTTTGTAGTTGTAGATGGACAGAATTCCTTTATTTTGTTTATTTATATGTGGTGCTAAGGATCAAACCCAGTGCCTCACACATGCTAGGCAAGCACTCTACCACTGAGCTACATCCTCAGCCCACCTTTAGATCTTTGATGTTCTTCCAGATTTAGTTTGGCCTTTGTCAAAGTCTTGTACTTAATGACTATAATCATTAAGGTCTTTATTTATTTTTTTAAAGGTATACACACACACACACACACACACATACATACTTACATACGGTACTGAGAATCAAACCCAGTGCCTCACACATGCTAGACAAGCGTTCCGCCCCTGAGCTATAACCTCAGCCAAGGTCTTCATTTTCGATCATTATAACTAACGGTTCTTTTATCTTTAGAATGAACTAAAGATATCAAAGAACGTTTTATTGCCCCTTTAAAACCACTGAGCTAGCTGTTCACAGTGGTACACACCTATAATCAATCCCAGGTACCTAAGAGGCTGAGGTGGAAGGTTCACAAATTTGAGGCCAGGCTTTACAATTTATGGAGACTCTGTCTCCAAATAAAAAATAAAAAGGGCTGGGAATGTATCTCATTGATAGAGTACCCCTGAATGCAATCCCTTGTACTGAAAATAATAATAATAATAATAAAACCTCGCACATGTGACCCACTGGGATCGATCCTTAGCACCACATAAAAAATAAATAAATAAAGATATAAAAAATAAAATAAAATAAAATAAAACCACTGAGCTAAACTATGTTTTGGTAAGAAAATTATCAGTAACTTCTCATAAGTCATTAAGAATTACAAAAAATCTGAATGCCTGAAACACACTGGCTGACATTCAATTTCAAGTCAATCTAGGCCAAAATGAACCGGTTCTGTGTACAGTTATTACTGGAACAAACAGGCCAACCAAGAGCCACACAGGTCACATTGCCCTTAACTCCAGCTTCATCTGGCCACTAATTCATGGGAAAGCAGTTTTCCCTCATTCCTTTCAGCTTTGGCAGGTGGGGTTAGGAAACAGCAGGAAGCTACTGGGATTGAAATGTGGTCCCATAATCACTGCCCTACTGAAACATAAAACACTTCAGAATAGTTGAGGAAGGGAAGGAGGAAAATGTGGAGGGACAAAAGGCAAATAATTCTCTAGTTCATTTATTCATGAGTCCATTCATTCAACATGCAGGAGGCTTCTTCTTCAGGGCCACAAAGGAATTAATAGCCACAATAAGCTTCAGAAGAGAGATCCTTAAGAAAAATTGGACTTCCCAAGCTTCCCAGGAAGCAAGACCCTATTCTAGAGTTGACTTAGAGTCAGACAAAGTGAAGAACTTGCCTCTCTGTGTTTCCTTGCTGATCGGAGGTGGCAGTGGCGGGGCCCATTTTCACAGGATGCCCTGAGCTCTCTTCTTGAGCCTCAAGTCATCCCTGTCCCTTTCCCCGCCAAAGGCCTTGCAGTTCAGGTGGTCCATTATGGATGAGCAGATACAAGTCAGCCTTTTCGTTTTAGAATTCAAAGTTTATATGGACTTTTTCAACGCATCCTTTTTGAACTAGAAACAACTGTTCCCGATATAAATTTTTTAAATCTTCAAAGAGTATTTGGTGGTATGTGTTTTTAGTGTCAAACATATTGCCTTTGGGGCTGGGATTGTGGCTCAGCAATAGAGCGCTCACCTAGCACGTGCGAGGCCCTGGGTTCGATCCTTAGCACCACATAAAAATAAAATAAAGATATTGTGTCCAACTATGACCCAAAAATAAATATTAAAAAATATTGCCTTTATTTGAGTCATAAATGATAACAAGTATATGAAATTCCCCAAGATGAAAGTGTATATGATTCTGATTTGATGCATGTTGAATTACCATAAATATACCAGGTAAAGATGTACAAATATTACATCTCAACAAAAAAAATAGTAAGTTAGGTTCTGTGATCTGTCAACCCAAGATATTAAAAATACTGGTTGCTGGTTAAAAATGTAAGCCTGGGTGGTGCACACGCCTGTAATCCCAGTGACTCGGGAGGCTGAGGCAGGAGGATTCCAAGTTCAAAGCCAGCCTCAGCAAAAGCAGGGCACTAAGCAACTCAGTGAGACCCTGTCTCTAAATAAAATACAAAATAGGGCTGGAGATGTGGCTCAGTGGTCAAGTGCCCCTGAATGCAATCCCTGGTAACCCGCCTCCCCAAAAAATCTAATTCTGGTGTCCCATTATAATTTGAGATGATTCTTTTCCAGTACTTTTTTTCCCTCCTTCTTCTAATCTAAACACTGGAAGGTATAAACAGGAAAGGGGTTTCCCTTCCTGTGAGTTACCTGGGGTCCAGCCCGGTACTTCCTATAAATTTAGAAAATTCTTCCTGATAACTCAATTTCCAACTACTTCTGAGAGTCGCTGGCTCTAGGCCCTACTCAGTAAAGTACTTAATGAGACAAACAGCTCTGCTGTACTGATTCACAGTCATGCATCAGAGGTCCTGAGTTCTGGTGAAGTTAGGCAACAATTCTAACAAGAGCGAATTCTTAAGTTCTACTCTGGGCAGGAAGAATTTACCTTCATGCATGATGACCCAATGTGATCAAAGCCACCAGAAACTACACCAGGTAAATGCAAATGAACTGGAAATACCATGTGTCTGGACTGGGCACCATTAAATGATGTCCTGTTTAAACCAAGCAATGCTTATTGCTCCCTTTGAAGATAAGAAGGACCAGAATTTTCCCCATGCTTCAGATAAAGTGACCCTGACTCCAGAATCAGATAAAATATGCATTCATCAAATCAACTGGAAAGTCCTTTCTGATATAAACTGCCCCAATGCAAAGAAGACGAAGATATGAAAGAACCACCAAATTGGGTTTTCTAAGGTCAAAGAAAAAACTAGGGTGCTGCTAAGAAAAATGAGGGTGGCAAGGGGGCTGTGGGAGATCCTCTGCCTGCCACAGCCACCCCTCCAGGTGGAGCCCTAATACCATGGTACAGAGAACCTGCCCTCTTCCTGGTTTCCCAGAATAGCTAACCGCTGGTTAGGATGTCTAAAATTTACTTTAAAACACTTGGGTAGAGACAATATAAGGCAGCTATGTGTTTCTGAAATTAGTTTAAATTACATTCTGGGACAGACAACCATCCTAGGAATAGATAGACCCTCAAGGAGTCGTCAACTAGGATCTAATCAGAAATCCCAGGCTCCATAGGTGCTGTTTCCTCCAGGATTTCAGTTCCCTTTTAACTCTCCAGGACCCCTGAAGCTTTGCTAATTAGCATCATTAAAGTGAGAAATGGGTTTCCATTAGTGAAATTAGTGGCTTGTCAATTAGCATAATGAATGTCAGAAGTGGACGGAAAGTGATGCAGTTCAAATTTGTGGACTACCCAAACACCCCACCCTTTTATTTAAAGAGGGTGAGCCCTGTTATGGTTTCTACAGACTTATGG